TGGATAGGACAGCACCAGCACCATGCGGGGTGTTCTAGAGGAGGTGTGGTGGGAGGGGCAGCTCTGGGAGTCACTGCACAGGTCAGAAGGACTCAGATGGGAGGATGGGGCCCTGGCTGATAGGTGCAGGGGGAGGCACCTCTGTGATCTTCATTCGCAGGCGATGGTTTTCTGATTGCAGGCCCTCCAGGCGGGATGTGCTCGCTTGGTTCACACTGGTGACTGAGGTGGACGTTTTAGAGTCTTCTTTCTTCTGATTCTGAGTGAACTGGAAGCGCCTGTTCTGAGTGGCTGCGTCTGGGTTTGTCCTCAGAGTGATGAGCTGAAAGGACAAAGGTGGGGTCGAAGAGAGAAGCCTGGTCCTTCCTCCCATCCCCCACTGCAGTCCCTCCTAGCAGGTCCAGCACTGGAGACAACAAGAGGCCCCAGGAGGAACCCAGGGTGAGAGTCAGGAGCCCTGGGCACAGGCCACCCTCTACCACTCACTTGTGCATGACCTTGGGCAGGCCCCTTCCCCTGGCAGTCTAGTCTCCTGCCCCTGATTTCACCTGCACCCCAACCATCCTGCAGAGGCCACCCAGGGCCCTTTGGCCTAGCTCTAGCTGAGCCTTGCTCTGGCCTAGGCCTGGCTGCCTGTAGAAAATAAATCCTGAAGGTGACAGTTGTGGAGACAGTGGGATAAAAGTAAGCAAACCATTGATGAGTTTTGGGGACAGGGTAGTAGCTAGCTCTGTCACTGACAAAAGAGATTTCTTTTTTTTTTTTAGCAGCTTAAAACAGCACATATTTATTATCTTACAGTTTCTGTGGGTCAGGAGTCTGGGCATGGCTTAGCTGTGTCCAAATACATTCTTTTTTTTTTTTTAATATAGAAGAAAAAGTTGCCACTGGAGCCAGACCTCACCCATTTGTTCTAGAATCATCTCTGGTTTGAGGCAGGTTCTGGGCTCAGCACTAGTGAGCAGGAACTGAAGGAGCCATGGCCCCTGCCCACCAGGACCTCATGGTCCAGAGGTGTGGAGTGGGGATGAAGGAGGGACTCAATCTTTGCCAGGCTAGAAGGTATCAGGGACAGAGTGCCCACCTTGGTGCTGTGGCCTGGGCTGGATTCTGAGGAGGGTCTGGAAGGATAGTGGGGGGAAAGGAACTCCAGGGAGAGAAATGGCATATACAAACCCAGGGAGGTCTAGGGATCAGGGTAGTTATGGGGTAGGGCAATTTGGATGGTGAGACCTTGGGTTCTCTGGGCAGACTGGAGGAGACCTGAGGGTCCTGAAAGCCAGCCCCCCATCAGGAACTTGATCCAGGAGCTAGGAGGGCAAAGAGAAGCTATTGAGAGTGACAGAACATTGTGACATGATTGGAGCTGGGCTTAGAGAATCATCTGGCATCTTTACAGGATGGAGAGAATGCCAGAGTGCGGGCAGAGAAGTCATGGCACTGGCCTGGGGTCTGGACAGGTGTGGACAACTAGAGAAGGAAGAGGTCCATGCCAGAGGTGTTCTAGGGCAGAGCTGACAGTGTTTGGGGACTGACTGGGTGCGCAGGAGGATGGAGACACCACAGGCAGTCTGTTTCCCTAGATCAACCCCAAGTGATCTCTCCTCTCCCCCTTCACCAAGGCAGACAGTCCCCACTTGGGTCAATAATTCCTTCTCAGCTGTTTCCTGCTCCTTCCTTCACTCTTGAGACCTCCTGAAGTCAGGCTTCTCTCTACACAGACTAGGGGGGTCCTGAGAGGTCAAGGCCTCTGGTTCACCCACCCACTGCTGGGTAGGATGATGTTTGGAACAAATTATCTTCAAGGTGGTCCTGAAGGTCAGTCCTTCAGATAAATGGAAAATGTAAGTGGCTATTAAAAATGGTTATTCCTGGCCGGCCCGTGGCTCACTCGGGAGAGTGTGGT